TGTTCTTATAGAGTATTTAGAAAAATGATTCAAATTTTTAAAATTTTTAGGTTCTTTTGGAATCAAAATATGTTGGCAACCTAGCATATGCTACTGTCTCGAATAAAGCGTTCAGAGACCACCGGTAGCCTTTATGATTTTTCTAAATGACTCACAAGACTCAGAAAAAGTTTTTGTACTCACAATAAGATGGACTACCATGAGATACACAGATTAAAATCAGCAAGAGAAACACCAAGATACACCAGGCAGGAGCTTCCAGGGCCCTTCAACATGCTGTATTGGGACACTTAATTCTCCCAGCAATTATGTGTGACAGCACATGTGAGGAGCTGTCATCCAGTGAGGTTCTCCAGGCTTTTTTGGGCTCACTTCTATAGTCAGGCAGCACCCACAGGACTCAGCTCATCCTCCATCAGCATAGGAAGAGGCAACCACCCTAAGTCATGCTGTTGAGATCAGTCTCTCCAGTGAAACTGTTACAGCATGGCCCCTGAAGACCTCAGACATACAGAAACATACAGAACATTCCCAAAGCTCAGATGCTATTCCCCAGAAACCAGTCAAAGGTTATCCTGAAAATGGGCTTTTCTGTGGAATGTGCAGGATTGGGGTAAATCAGGGCTGCTAATTTGGTCATGTCCTCCCTTTACTGTGGCAGCTCCTTTGAACTTGTCCTTCATTTCTCTCTCCCTTTGTCCTTCCGCAAAGTTGTTGTCCCTTTCTTTTGCCAGACATTCTAAATTCTAAAGAAAAATCCCACCTAAGTTACTTGGTTAACTGCCAAATCTTTCTTCTACAGATTTCAGAACATATGGTGAACTCTGTCATGCTCTTCTGAACCTTTAGTTCTGTGAATATGTTATCTAAAGATGATATAGGACATATGATATAAGGATAATATATGGACCTCCAAATAACTGCCAACTTGTGTTAATGCGTGAAACACTGAGTTTGTGTTCTCTAAAATCAGAGAACGAATTCTAGGAACAGTGGAGAGTAAGAGTAGGAAGATTTATTGAGAGGAAAAAAGTTTCTGTCTAAGAGGGACAGAAAGGCGTGCCAAGTGGGTGGCCCACTGATCTCTCCTTTCAAGGCTGTTTTAAGAAGCCGAGACAGGTGAGGTGGTTTAAAGGTGGGACAAAACTATAGTCAACTACCACACTTACAAGTACATTTGCCTAGGTAAAACTGACCCAATGGGAAATCATAAGGTGGGTGTGAGGTGGGACAAAACTATGGGGAACCAATAAGATTACAACAGTGGCCTCGGTAACACTGATTAAATGAGGATCAAATGGGGAAGTGAGTCACAAAGCAAATGTACATGGAACAAATAAGGCTTTTCCAGGAAGGAATAGGCCAGCAGATTTCAGTGCCCTGCCCAGAGTGATATCCATTTAGCATATCAATCTCTGCTGTTCATCTCTCCAGGAAGGATGTGGATATAATCAGTCCTTTTTTTCTTAAAGCCAGGCTTCAGTGAATGTGCTTTGGCCCCAGTTGTCTTCTGTGCTGACGTCTGAGTCCTGTGTAACTGCCAATATTATTTATTGCTAATTTAGCCATCTACACTAGAAAGAACAAGAGGAGCCCTAAAATTGAGGTCCGCTGGAATAAAAAAAAGAGGTACATATCCTGGATGTCAAAGGCCCTACTCAGCAAATAGCCTTCCTGACCCGCTCCTCCTTTCCTTGCTGTTATAGCTTTGTGTAGCCCTAAACACTGCCAAGGTGCAGTTGTAGTTCAAATACTTCCAATCTCCAAGTCTGAAGCCCTTGAGTGAACCCAGTTCCTTCTCACCGAGTCTCCAAAGTGCTGGCCTTTAAGCAGTGAGCAGCCTGACTCATCCTAGTAACATACCCATTATCACATATATAACTTCATTGAAGTGAAAGAAAAAAGCTCATGAGAAAATCTTACTGCACTATTTTACAGATGAGGAGTCAGTAGGTAAGTTCCTTGTTCAAGTCAGTCCACCATTAACTTCAATGGGACTCCTTCTACCAGGTGGCACCACAGGGAGTATATGATTTTTTGAGCAATGCTTTTCATCCCCCATTAGTTGAAAAGTCTCAGAGGTAATGGGTTATGGATATTTTTCCCTTCTTATTATTCTTAGGCCCACAATAGTGTCTACTTAAAATATATGTGTTACATTTATATGGCAAGGCATGACCTACTGATATAAATTAGTACCCTACTCTTTTGAAATTTATATTGCTATAATTTCTCATATCACTGTGCCCAAAATAAATCTTCCATTTCTTCCACAGAAAATACAAACAAAAATCCTGAACACAAGTGTGTCTGTCCTACTTACCTCTTAGAGCTTTTATGAGACCCCAGACTACTGCACAGAGCTGAAAGGGACCTTTGAGATTACATTCTTAAACATTTTATGTTACATAAGAAAAAACTAACTTAATACCATTGTTCTGTAAAACATAGAAAGAGATAACATTTGCAATTCTCTTTCTGTGTCAGTAGAATTCCAGTTTGGAGTCAAAATATTATCCATATTTTCTTTCTTTCTTTTTTTCGTTTTTTTTTTTGCAAAATAATGCGATCGTTGTATGTTATTTGAATGGCTAGGGAATTAGAATATACAAATGTAACCAGCACCTTTAATGTAACTCTTTCAAAGTCAAGGAATGATTGCTATGGGTTTTCTTCCATTTTTTGTTGTGCTTCTTCATTTTTAACCTTCAGTTTCATGTATCACAGTCTTTAAAATGTTGCACATGTATGGCTTCTGATTTGCCCTCCGTTGAACCCCATATGTTATAAGGGGCACATGAACCCTTAGGGATACTGTTAGCATGCAGACTCCGATCCACTTATCTAAATAAGCTTCCAGTGACACCAGCAATCCTGGCTGTGGATTCTACTGGAAGAGCACATCAAAGCCATATAAATTATTCCATCTTCCTCCTTACCTTTTCCTCTAATATTATTGCCTTGCTATCACAAAACTATTCAAACAGATAAGAGAAGTCTCTGTTCTCTCCCAGCTCCCAGTGAACATACTTTAAGCAAGAACCAAGGAAATTTGAACTATTTATTTCAACATGACTGACAGATGTCATACACAGGACCATCATGCTAAGGAATGAACCTTCAGCTTGGCTAAATAGAACATTAATAAAACAGAACCTTCTACCTAAAGTTTGCTTTTTATGCTAATATTTTTAAGTGGGCTTTTTTTCTTGATAAAAGATGGAAGCTTAGAGTAGTTATTTAAAAAGAGTGGGAGAAAAAACTGCTCCAAGCACTCAGACTCCCCCACTGGGCAGACTTATGTCCGAGGAAGTGGACAGTCTTTAGAATTTAACATCTCATTGGCTGAGTATGAAATAACAATTTGTATCTTCATTATCCCATTTCCTGAGGCTACTGAGCAGTGTTTTTCAGATGACAATGAACAAAACTCTACTTCAACCAACATGCACTCATGACTTACCAAGGTTTTGCTGTTGCTGTTGGATTTTCTTAGTCCCCTGAATCAACAAAGAGAGCTCATTTGTTTCACTTTGAAAAAAACTCTTCATTTTCCCCCAGACTTTCCATTTCACGCTGGGTGAATTTTATTAAGATGGCTTTCACAGAAGCTAAACGCTGGCTTGATGGGGCCCTAAGGGGTGCAGTCACAGCCTCCGCAGTGTCGGCAGCCTCTGGAGACATTTCTTTTCCATTGAAAACTCCTTGGAGAACCATAGAGAAGAATCCAAAATCTTTTTGGTACTTGAAGAAATAGTTTGGTCTCTTCAATATTTTGATGTAACCTGACAAGCCTTTGAAGCTTATCACCTGAAAACTGACAGAACAGCAGTAGTCCAGTTAATAGCCAATATCTGAACATTAATATCATATTGGTAATGGGAGGGTCTTTGCAAATGCCTTCAATTATATCTAGAAACTGACTTACAGTATCAATTTAAATATTTTCTATTTTAGAATTAGTTATTGTTAATAAAACTTATCTGTAAGCCTATTGATTAATAACTTGTCAATGAGCTTTTTCAGTAAAAACTCATGTTCTCAGAAATGATACACAAATTGCTGCATAATAATCCTATTCTAGCATGACATCATGACAACATAATATCATGTATCATATAGCAAATAAAAACAATCTAGCCATTTCTCTGTGATAGATATTTAATTATTGCCATACTTTATGTTTCTTTATATTGGAAATAGCAATAGCAAATATTTTTGCTACTTGATAACTGTAAAAACAATGTAAATATTTTGTGTGTCAACTCTTTTAACCTTCATAAAGGTCTTCAAATGGTCTTATTATTTCCATTATAGATGTATGGAAAGGATGTATAGGTAGGTTGAACTAGTTGCACAAACTCACACTGCTGGTAATTGTCAGAGAAAATATTCAAACCAGAGGTCATCATATCCAAATAGTCTTTTGTACCATGCAATTCCCTCAACTACATCAAGACTTGCTTGAGAACCACTTGGTTAAATAAAAGATTCAATCTATGTATGCAAATCCATAAATTAAAAATAATATAAACTAAAAGTATAAAAGAGGTATAGTCTTTTTCTGGGCTCCATTGAGCATAATATTGCAGGTTTTTCTTAAATCCTTTCAATTTCAAGAGCTTTTAACCCAGGGTAGTGCTTTTATATGAGAAACATGAAAAATTCTTCAAGAAAACTGCTATAGGCTATACTCCCTTGATGGTAAGAAATGCACTGTGATGATTTAAATCACACTTCTCTATTCCTTTACACTGTGGTGAATGCTTTTTCTTTAAAAATCCAACTTCACATGAATTTCCTCCCTTTTGAATTCCATTCTCATGTCCCATTTAAAGGTGTATTCACTGGTTGGTTTTGGTCAAGGATGGATCTGCTTTGCTAACTTCTCCAAAAGCAAGGAGGACCTAACATAAGGGTGAGGGCATCTTTTATGTGGAGAACTGTTACTCACTTGAACACATGAAGACCCATCTCTTTCCCTATCTCTGTTCTCACAGAATGTGTGACACAGGAGAAGGACTATTCACTTTTCAAACAAGGGAAGGAGAAATGATCTATCAGAAGGTCCATTCTGCGACACTGGCCATAGCTGAGCAACATGAAAGACTAATGCTAGAAATGGAGCAGAAGGCCCGGGTAAGGCTCCTTCCTCGGTAAACTAACAGCTTGGAAATGAATGTCCCTGAGCTCTGATGTACTTCAGGTTTATGTGGGTCCGATCACATAACACCTCATTGACCTCCTGCCTTGGTTTCACAGGCTCATGACAGTTATCAGACCTGCGAGGCCCGCCCTCTCCTCTCTGTAATGTCCTACTCAGTGTTCCCTGTGGCTGCTTCTGGGGACTTCCCCCTCTCTGTATCTACATATGTATGATTTGTTTTCTTGATTACCTAAGAGGGCAAAGTACATATAGCCTGAAGGAAGAGCAATTCTCTCCACATATCTCTGCATACAACTGCATAAAATTCCAAGGTGGGGCAAAAATTACTAGGAAAATTAAGATTCTACAAGAAAAGATTTCAGTTTTCATTGTTATCTTTATCCTAGGCACTCTAAAATATTTAGCTTTTGCTATATATTTATATACTTTTATTTATATATTTTTCTATATACTATATATTTCAGTGAAAATAAGAAAATGTCTGCAGAAGCAGAGTTTACTGTTTGCCAACAGAATAATTCAGTTAGAGTACTGTTTGAAACTGCACTACAGTGTCAGTGTTAATAAGAAATCATTAAATAAAGAATCTGAATAGGGAAGTTTATAAGCAGTTAAAAAAATATAAACTTCACTACTTTAAAAAGTAGTGAATGAAATGATTGGTGACTATGATCTGTAGAGATGAAATTCTTTCTACAGGAATTATAGAGATGCATCAGATTTCACCTTTGAGAAGACAGGTGATACTTTGTTTGTTTTCTGGTACCGGAAATCGAACTCACGACCTTGCGCTTGCCAGGCAGGTGCTGTGCTGCTGAGCTAAATCCCCAGCCCAACAGATGATACTTTGGGAACATCCTAATTCTTTTCAACATGCATCAATAAGTCTATTCAAGTGTAAACTGATGTAGTTTTTGCCACCTAGTATCATTTTGTTTTAAATTTTGATCATATAATTTATTAATATATATTCTTAATTCATGTTTTTGTTTTCCCAGTGCTACATATATTATTTATTTCTTCATCTAAATATGATTAATAGCCAGCCTAACCCCCAAGGAGGACAAGGGCGTGTCTGTGGGACATTTGATTCCCCATGGGAATGGCTGGACAGTGTTAGCGTTGACAGGATTATCAATATGTGACTGTGGGACTGGCTGAAGAAGAGGGGCTGATAAAATGTCATGTTTTAGAAAGATCTGGGTTAAATGTAAACCTTTGTAACAATGATCTAATTAATATGACATTTTCTTCAGTGATTTAAATCAAGTGAAAAAATACAACGACCACATTTCAAACTGTTGAGTTCCTTGAACATCCATTACCAGCCATATTCATGATGTGCTGATGCCTTGGTTTCAACCAAAATTAAGGTTCGGATATCATTTGATGTTACTTAACAGCTGAAGTTTTTTTCATGCAGTTGTTCTAAGCAGACAAGTTTCCATGTAAGTGGAAATATTTAAATGATATTTCTTGAAGGAATGGCCAAGTGCTCTTTCATGCATCTGCAATTTTTCTACCATAAAAGAGGGGAGTTGCTTTGAGTTCTGTTCTCTCTACCCCATCCCAGCTCTTCTTGGCTCTGTAATCTTGGGCAAGTCTTTCACCTGTAAGTCTCTCTGTCCCTTTTGCCTGTAACACTGGGGATATTATAGTTCTGTCTATGTGACTGTTAAAAGTTTCTGTACACTAGTCTATATAAAATGCTAAGAATCTGACCAGACCCATAGAAAGTCCTATGAAAATATTCATTCTTTTGATGTGACGTAGGAATGATTTTGAATAATTATAAGATCTGCCAAATTCAGAAAAACAGTAAATCATTATTTCCAGATGTGGTAGCATGATGTCTTTCACATTCTTTCAGATATGTCTAACAACTTCGTGCCAACAATGTTGCAAAATGGACTTTAATTTATATTAGGTATATTTTTGTTATGCCAGCATCATGACCTGTGCCCCTGAGAAGCAACTCTGGGAAGCGGAGTCAAGCAGCTGCTATTGAGGACTTTGAGGCAGCAGTCCACTCACTAGGGTTTGGACAGCCTCAAACTGGGGTGTGAACCCCACATGTAAGACCAACACTCAAAGATGAAGCAGATGTTTAAACAGCAGCCTCAGGAAGGCTCAACAAAGAAACCACATGTTTCTTTAAATTTCAAAATCAGCGATGACATCACTTCATGCGTATCTGTAAATGGAGTATTTGTCTTAATTTCAAAGATGATTTCACATCTATGGTTCTTTCTGAAGGTTATTAATGCTAGTAAGAAGAAATCACTTCACGTCTAGTCCTCTCTTCAGAATACACTGAACTAATGCTCTTCTGAGAGCAGGCTACCTCAACTTGATAATAACCCAAGTGCCCAAAATTTTAGCATCTTCAGCATAGGTTTGCAGGTCTCCAAGACACAACTTTTTATTATTTTCTTTTAAAACACTTCCTCTACATCATGAAACTCCCCAAAAAGAAAAGAAGTTACAACAACTATGAAGTAATACTCAAACACCTCTAAGTCTTCATTTACTATTTAATATGTAAATCTATGCTATGAACTAAGCAGTGACATTACTTGGAAGTTGAAATGGTACAAATAAAATCTACCTAAACTGTACATACCCACTGTTATATATCTACTGCAAAAAGGATGTCACTCCTAATTGGCTTTCCACTTTAAAAGCCAGGCCGTGTGAGATTAACATCGATCAAATGGCAGTACTCATGTATCTTAATGTGATTTTAAAAATTTTACAAATTTTAATGAATAGTAATAAAAACATCATTGGGGCTGGTTCACACTGTTGTAGCCACGGAGCCTAGTTGATTTCTCGGTTAAGCAACTCATCAGAAATCCTTCAGTGAGTTATCCCTGGAGAATGACGTCTGTGGAAGGAGGTGCCTTCCACCGCTGCTTCAAGCACTTCAGCTTCTCAGTCTTGCATCCGCCTAAGAGTCAGAGAGTGTTCGTGACAGAAAAGGGGAGAATAATCTTAGATAGTCTATACTGTCATTATTTTGTGATCATAAACCTGGGCTATTTTAGATGAAAATTCTGTTTTGGAATGCATGAAAGAAGGAAGTCAGGGTGTAGGATTTAAACAGAACTCTTTCTAGGGGATACCTAATATTGAAATTGTTGAGGGAATTATGAAAGCTAGACAGTTAAGCCCCCCGGCATCTTCTTAGAATTAGCAGAGTTCTTTGAGTTCCTCTACCAACCACTGCTGTGCTACACTCCTGGAACTCCATCAAGGAAAGATGACTTTCCTTCTGATGGGAGCCATTATCACTTCTCAGCCTTTTGGCTACAATCAAGTGTAGTATCTGATGGGAGCCATTCTTCAGAAACTCCTTCATACGCGTGCCCAGGTGACGTAGTCTACTGAAGTTCAGGAAGAGCAAGGCTATCACAGACAACAGAGGTTTCCAATGACTTGAAATAATTTAATATTTTATATTTGTGGATCCACTATGCACACACACACACACACACACACACACACACACATAAACAACATAGGAAATAAACTTTTCACCTTTTTTTCTGTTTGACAAGGGTTACAGAACACCCACAGGTAAAACACAACTGTGAGAACATGAATGAAAGAAAGAGAAAAAAAGGTTTTTTTCTGATACCTAAATATAAGAAAGAGGAGATTGGCATTAGCAATAACTAAATTTCTAATATTATAAGTAACTTAAAAGCATATTTGAAGATCACCTTAAATAATAAGAATTACATATTGTCTTTTTAAAAAACATTACGATGTTCCTATTCTGCAGAAATTCCTATCTTCTGGTCACCAGAATTGCCCTGTGTACAACTTAAAGACAAATAGCATCTGTGCTATTGAAGTAACAGCAAGATGGCAAGGCTGCATGGAATGCCTTAAAAGCTCTCAGAAGCACAATGGGCCAAGTGGGTTGTTGTCCAGAGCTGTAAATCCTATGAATGTTCTGAACCCTGGTGAGCAGAAAAAGAAACATTGTAGTCTGGCACAAAACACCTTCCCTTGAAAACAAATAAGTATTTTTGTCTTTATTATTTGCTAGTTGATATGCAATATTTCTTATTCTTAGAAATAGAAATGATAAAAGCAAGTCACATTCATATCATTAGTAAACTAAAAAAGTTACTGTTTCAACAGCCATGAACCTTTTGAGCAATAATTATTTTAGGTAAATGATATCCTTTTATAATGTAATATTAAAAGACATTTATGGGGCTGGGGATACAGCTCAGTGGCATAAGCACCTGCCTGGCAAGCGCAAGGTAGTGAGTTCGATCACCAGTATTGAAAAAAAAAAAAAATTTCTGAACATGCAGTAGCACTTTTTTGCTTCTCCAGCCATCCTCTGGCATACAGAAATACGTCAAAGAAACCTGCATCTTGGAAAGAGGAAAGAACAGAGGAGCTCAGACAAAAAGACAGAAATTACCAGCTTTATCTGCACATAACTTATGCTGTGGCAAAAATTTTCCCTATTCCAGTTATGCCTTACCACAAGGTTTACCCAGAAATTGATTACTACCATCCTAGAAAATAATGCTTTGTCTAAATAGCTGGATAAACTGGAAACTGTTGCCAGATTGCATCAATTCCAAAAATTTTCACATTTCAGCATCTCTGAAATCAAATGTGAGTTACAGTTTACTCAGCAGCACTATTTGTATTATAACACTGTCTAAACTAATGTTATGTCTTACAGTGAGTGACCTCTTGGTATGTATAAAATATACTAAGGGTTTTTTTATAACCAGAGAGCATACATTTACTTATGGTTTCTGAAGGAATAAAAAGTCCTCCTAGATGAGTTCTATCCTCAAGAGTTTGGCTTCCATTTCAGAATTCCATTCTTCCTAACCATGATTTATAGGAATCTCTTATCACATATGAGAAAATAGTAATGTTATTCTACACTAAAATTATGAAGAATTTGGAATCATTATATTATGATGAGCACTAC